GGACTCTCTGTCATTATACCCTGCTGAGATCGCCACAGCAAATTGACGCTGAGTGCCCAAAGCCGGGGCACTCTCCCAGAGCCTCTTCCTAGAGCTCGTTGTATTTATTTCCACAATGGGCCTTATTCCTAATCTACTATAAAACCATTAATCTGGTGCCAGAAGCAATGACATTTCAGCACCTGCCCAAAAAGTTTTTTAAAAAAACCCTCAAGCCTTTGCTGAATTTTTTTTAAAAAACTGTTCCTCAGTTTTATGATTTCCCCCTTTGTACTGATTGTGTTTGATTTATTACTAGTTTTAAATTTATGCTCAGTTTTATGTAGTGCACTGTTTTTTTTACCATGTTAATTACTACCATTGTTTTAACTGAATGCTGCCTCGGGAAGACTTTGTTGAGTGTATGGCATAGAAGTATCAATAGCCTATAAATATAAAATATATTTGAAAAAGTGCCCTTTTACATCTTGAACCCACTGATGAAATATTGCTCCCATCATTTAATATTGCTTCTCAATGATTAGCCATTTAAAACATTAGCTTATTTAGCTTAAAAACTTGCATGTTGTTCTTCACGTTCCTGCTATTTAGCTTAAAAGCTTGCATGTTGTTCTTCACGTTGCTGCTGAGAGTGTTCAGAGGAGATTGGCAGCCTGCAAAGAATGGCTGCCTTTGCCCGGAACACCACCTAAGCTTCCAGTTGTGTTCATCCACTGCTTCCTCTTTCCAACTGATAGCAGTATAGGGAGAAAATAGGTGAGCTGATACCAATGACTATTGCTGATGATCTGGGCCTAGCGGCCCCTGAGGTACTAGCAGAGTTGCTTGGTTGTGGCTGTGCATATCTAGCCACCAGTGGCCTGCTATACCAGTGGCCCACTGGGAAATTTCCCTATAAGTTAAATAGTCAGTGTGCTCCTGAACTGGGGATGCCAGGGATCCCCCTGGAATTACAACTCATCTCCAGACTACAGAGATCAGTTCCACTGTAGGAAATTTTATTTATTTATTTATCAGATTTATACCCCACCCTCCCAGCCACAGCCGGCTTAGGGTGGCTTACATAAAATAATAAAAACACACATGTAAGCAATTTAAATAGCCCTAAAATAATATAAAACACTCCAGCATTAAAAGGTGCTAGACACTAAATAATGCTAATAGTATTATTAGATTATTAGGTGATGGTGGCCAACTTTCAGTGATCTATCCTAGCGGATAGATCTCCAGGATCAGCCCATAGATCTAACCTTTGTGCTGCTGGCACAGGCTGTTTCTGATGACTCCAGGGAACAGGGTTCTCTGCCATTCCAGCTATTGGATTTCAGTAGGGGAGGCCAGAGATGGATTTTGGATGTTTTCAAGTTGGGAGAAATGCAGATTCCACACTTCAGTGTTGTATCTCCATGGGATCCGCATGCAATATGTAAATGTGTATACATTTACATGTGTTGTATATGTGTGTGTGTGTGTGTGATGCGATCATCTAATTAGAGTGCTTCATGATGAGGTTGTATCTTTCCAGTTTACTGACTGGGAGAGTACTGGCTCCTTCCAACCCCAACTACAGAAATGACTATTTGTTGTTTCAAATATGGATGCTTTGGAGGGCGGACTCTATGGCACTGTATCCAATTGGAGTTCCAGGCTCCACCCCCAAATCTCCAGGAGTTTCCCAACCTGGCTCTGGCAACCCTTATCCCCCATACTCTGCTGGTGGCCAGGAGCAACCTGGCAACCCTTGACGAGGCCATAATTATCACCACTTAGATACGTGTGTGTGTGTGTGTGTCTCTGTGTGTGGATGATTTGATGGCCATTGCTCAAAGTGCTTGAAGGAGCTGAATTAAAAAGCCTATTTTCAATATTACTAAGCTGCTCACACAATGATTCATTGTTTCCTAATTGCTCTCCCACCACACAGTGCCAGCACGCTGTCAAAACTGAAGTTGAGCACAGTTTTAAAATAAAATACTAATAGTGTCATCCTAAGCAGTGTTATATCCTTCTTAGTTCATTGACTTCAATGGATTTAGAAGGTTGCAACTCTACTCAGGGTGGCTCTGCAATTCTTGAATAAAATGTAGCATTGTATGGAATCAAACGCTTACAGGCCTAGGAAGTTTTGAAACTGTGGCATTTGACCAGTCTGTGAGTGCTGTAGCAGTTTTTCTTTATTTCAATATTACCAACCATACAAGCTATGAGTGGCGCAAGGTAATGAAAATGAAAGCATTTGGCATATCTTTAAAGATGGGCAAGAAAATAGTTGCACATATTTATCTGAATGAAAGGTATTGTGTGTAAGCATCCAAGCAGCACATGATTAGAGTTGTGAAGGCCCAGGAAGGGGGGGGGGACCTTGAGAATTTCATTTCTTCCAACATATGACATGCACTTGCTTTTCTCACATATGCTCATGCCAATACCCTTCACCTGAGAGGGTATCAACTCCTTCAGTCTCTGATGCCTCCTTGACCAGAACCACTAAGGAGACGGAGTATGTACCATCACTGAGGAAGGTTACCTTCCTTTTTTCACATATGATTGACTAAGCCAGAGGGATCAGGATCCAATACTGCTACGGTACTATAACTTGGTAAATGAAATGGCAAATATGTTGCCTTTGTCATATAACTAACTGATGGAATAAAAATGGCCCACAATGGCTGATTTGTGACAGATTTTACCTTTGTTTGCCCTGGCACAAGCCTGCAGGCTACTTGCCCATCAGATGGATGCCAATGTACAAGTAACTAGCATGGTTTCTACTGTGCCATGAATCAGTCAACTCCTAGACAAACACTGATATGCAACCAACACATAACATCTGCACCGCAGATGGGTACAACTGTAGTGCCAGCCTCTGTACTATGCCAGCACCTTTCACACCAAGTCCTCCTCTACCACACAATTCCAGAATGAGAAGCCATGGCTGATTTCTAAAGAGAAAGCTACAGCAAGCCTCTCTGGAAACCTAAACGATTTCTCTCTATGCAGGGAAGCTGTACATTGTAGGACACTATGTGGGTATAACCTTTTACCTCCTGGATTTTCTTGATTATGATAGTGTAAAATCCAACAGCATGTACAATCTCTGATTTGTGAGGGCGGGCTCCCTTCTTATCAGTGGTGACTGAATGAACTCTGCACATGGTCTGCTTCAGTGAGCTTGGACACTATGTACAAATTCTGGGGACGCATCCAGGATCAACTAAAGTCTAGCTGACTCATGAGTCTTTTTTCCACTTTGTCCCCTGTAGGGCTTGCAGTAGCTAACAAGTTCTGATAGATATACCATGCAGTGAATTTTTTCTACTGCTGACAAGGATTGGAAGAAACTAACCATGGTTTCATGTGGTATCATCGGATTTCGTTGAAATGGCTGTGCTTTGATACACAGTCCATATTAGGGCTATGCAAAAAAAGTTTAGCCTTGAAATTTAAAAAATATTTTTAAATTGGCACTATTGCATGCATCTAAACTTCTTTTTAACATAATTTTCATTGTTTTCAATGGGATACACATTTATGATGGAGATGAGATTCTTGGGGATTGTAGGCTGCTCATGCAAAGGATCTTCCCTGCCAGATTTCAAAGGAAGCGTCCTTATTCTGTAGGTCATTAAAATTGCTGCATACAGTGAAGACAGAGGCAAACATCTAGCAACCAGGGTTGCCAGTAGGGGGATAGTGGTCTATTTTTAAACAAAAATGGAGCATATAGTAAGGAGAGTTAAAAAGCTCACTGCATCCTGATGCTTCAAACATTTTTAATAACCAGACTCCAATACCAGCAATGAGCTGGGCTGGGAGGAAAATGCGATAAAGTGAGTAAAGTGCCAGGAGGGGAAGGGTTCAGCTCACCTTGTCTCTGCATTCTGCTTTTTTAAAAAAGACCCCTGTTGCCAAATCCAGCTTAGGACATTCCTGGAAATTTGGGGGATGGAACTTCGGGAGGACAGGGTTTGGGGAGAGATCAACATCTGCAGAGTGTAATGCCACAGAATTCCCCCTTCAAAACAGCCCTTTTCTCCAGGGGAATTGATCTCTGTAGTCTGGATATTACTTGTAATTCTGGAAGATCTCCAGGCCCCACCTGGAGGCTGGCAACTCTGCTGCCACCCCACTCTCTTTATACAATAATCCTTGCTTGTCCTCCTCCCCCAAAGCTAATAGCAGCTTGGAAGTGAGCAATTTTATCATGAAAATGGCATGGTGAACTAACCCTGCCACTGGCCACTCCCGGAGCTGCTTTTAAGGAACATCAAAGACATCAAGAGTCCTTAGATTCACTGTCATCATTTAAGGCCTTACTGGCCTTGGCTCTTGTTCATCACTGACTGCACTGCACATTAAGACAGCATGGTAGACAATGGCTTTTACCAAGGGAGGACATTTGCCCCCACACCTTAATCTGCAGAGCCACCTGCTGGAATGCCAACATGTGCAAGATAAACATTTCCTCCTGTCCATAGTAGGTGCCACCCATGAGAGAACAGAATAGCAAGCAGAGGAGCCATTGCACTGATGCAGAACTAAATCAATGCTATTCCTTCAAACAGTGTGATTGGTATCAGCACCACTTTGGAAAGACAGACCTATCAGCACAATCTTCATTGTTGGCAGGTTCTTAGGATTCCTCTGCTAAGAGGAAAACACCCTTGTTGTTCTCTCCTCATTTGGACTCTCTTGAAATCTAAGCCAAACAGCCAGGTAGCAGTATAAAGGCCAAATCCAAACCATTCTGAATATTATTCCTTTTCCAGTTTGGATTGGTTGTAATACTGATTTTATAGAATAGGGTGTTACTTGGTTCAGTTCTTGATCGGTTGATATCTAAGTACACACCGTTATTACACATGCCTTGGAGTGATGTGGCAGGATGGGAGCCACACAGCAAGCCCAGCTTTATTGTTTCTGTAGGGGCCCCCCACAATTTGATTACAGTAGCAATAGAACTGGCCTTCTGCTCCAGTATAGGGTGTCCCAAAGTTACTCCATTTCTCCCCACATAGGATTGACAACATTAGGATGGGGGTCTGGTGCTCTTCTAGAATAACAACTGATCTCCAGACTACAATGATCAGTTCCCTCAGGAGGAAATGGCAGCTTTGGAGGGTGGACTCTATGACATCACATATCCACTTTCACCCCCAAACTCTGTCCTTCCCAAGTACCACCCCCACAACCTCAAGTCAGAGTTGGCAACCCTCAGGAGGAAATGGCAGCTTTGGAGGGTGTACTCTATGACATCACATATATGACATCACATCACATTTCATCCCCAAACTCTGTCCTTCCTAAGTACCACCCACAACCTCAAGTCAGAGTTGGCAACCCTTTCTCCATGAGAAATAAAGTAGCTTGTGGTCTCTTCCTCCACTTCCTGCCATACTGAGCAGAAAAAGACACAGATGAGTTTTAGAACAGAGTGGTTCACTGCATCTCCCTTGGCTTACAAATAGGAGAACCTGGACTGTTTGGGTAAGTACTACAGCTCTGTACCCATGACAAATCTGTGTACAGGGTCAATGTGCAGAAGGGGGGGGGTCTAGGAGTAAGGGAACTGACTCATGACTGAGTTTGCTAGCTTCAACCCCATCTTCATCACACCACAGGCACACCACATGTGAACACCGTGTTGACGTAGGTGAACATGCTGTGATGGACTGCACTTTTTAAGAGGCTTAGAAGTGCTGTACAAACAGCTGAAGGACTGTGAAGGGTTAATTCTTCACAGAAACAGAGAGCCTTGAGTGACAGGCTGCTCCAAGCAATTTGATTGGTTAGCATTAGGTGAGCAGAAAAAGTCTGGAGAGACCTGGATGCTGAGAAGTCAGTCAGATTCCTGCCTTAACTGAGAAGAGACATGTACTGAGACCTTCTGTGAATAGCCCTGACAGAAAAAGGGTTTGCAGTCTGAATTCAGCAGTAGCTGAGAGCAGTTTGGACACAAACAGAGAACTGGGGGAGAGTTTGGCAAGGAAATTTGGGTAGTAGAGAAGACTCCCATTCAGGCCAAAGGAAAGGGGATAGATCTAGGGAGAGGAGAAGGGTCCCTATCCAGTCGAACAGGGAGAGTTATCTCTGAGGAGTAAACAGAACCCTGGTCTGGTGTGATTAGAAACTGCCTGTAGAGTCCTTAAAATTCAGTGAACAACTCAAGAAGAGTACTGGTGTTTCAAAAGAAAGGGTTTGGGTACAGGGAAGAGGGTACCAACCATCTGGGCACCAAAACAGTCAGTGTTTACTCAAATAAAGTGAACTAGAGTCTTTGGGAAAACGCTGGAACAAAAGCTGTTCAATATAAAGATCTAAGTAACTGTGAATGAATTAAGAACCTCTAATTAGCCTGATATATAAGAACAAAAGTCTGTGCTTGTACTAGTTTTACCTCAGTAATTCAACCCCTGATTTCACCTGACCTTTTCCCTTGATGTTAAATAAAACCTTTTAAAAAAAAAAGTTTCAAGTGCCATTTTCAAGGGTTTAAGTTAAAGGGTGATCCTATCCCTTCCCTCAGGGTCCTGACTCCTGGGCTGAGCAAATAGTCAAAATATATCTTACTGACAGCGTGGGACAGTCAAAGTTTCTGTAGGGGAGAAGAAAACACATTTCTTGGGGGGGGGGGAGAAAACACACTGCACAGTCAGTGAAGGGAAAGAAAAACGGAGAGAAAATCTAGCATCTGAGGGAGGGAAGTGGAAGTGGTCCATCATACACGCATAGTCAGGGATCAGGGCCAGCATGCTCACAACTGCATTTCCTGTACACCCATCAGCTCTGAACAAAGATACATAATATGTACAAGCCTTATAAGATCAGCTCCTAAACACATAGAGGTTAAAAAGCAATGCTGGCATCTTTAACCACATTTGAATCTGCCTGTAATGAAAACAGTCAGATGTTTCAGCTTTTGAGAGATAAGAAAACAGGCACAACTTGAGAAGTTTGGCAAGTAATATATAAAATGACTTTGAGCTCATTTTCACTCAGCTCTGGATATTAAAAGTAACCAAACTCTGAAGTAGTTTAATTCACACAACAGTAACAACAAAATATCTTCATAGTGCAGTGCTGAAGGAAGATTAACTTTTTGGTTGTGTTCATTATGGCATGCGAAAAGCGTCCTAAGTAGTTTTACAACTGCAGAAGCATGGGACTATTGCTAGCATCCACCTCTGCTATTTTGGAGATTTAATAAAAACTTAGCTATCGTCCACTTATTCACAAAGGACTGCTAGGATAACAATGCACTGCTTTTCTAGCACACAGCTACAAGTATTCCTGCCTGAGCGGAATTCTCTTTCCAACTTCAGACTTATTAACAGAACAGACCAAATGCCAAATGTTTTCCTCAGTTTTGCTATTAGGCAATGTTTTCTTTCCAAATCCTACTGTGATGTTTTCAGTAAGTTGTATGCTGTTTGTAAACAGAACATGCAAAGTTATTTAAGAGTTATCCAGCAGAATCTGAGACAGAGAACCATTGGAGGGAAAGAAGAGTGATTGTTTCTTACAACTTCCCAGGAAGACTGAATTCAGCTTAATAGTACCTTGCCCTCCTCAATGTCTAGTATTCTGTGATTCACTGCACCCTGTGTAACAAAGCTTGACAGTAGACTGGTTCATTATCAATTATGAAAAATACAAACATAGGGTGTTTTGTAATTATTGCAATTAATATGAAAATGAAACAAATTCTCCATCTAAACAGTCTGTAATAAAATCCCAATAACCCTGGTTTCTTTTGTTATTGCAGTCTCTGCTTGTATTAGTTTCACTTTTACAAGGCAGGCAGCATTTTCCTAATAAAAGGCATAGAAAGAAAGACCATAGACTTCCTTGGGGGAAGGGAGGGTCTCTGGCCTTTCCTGACTGACTGCAAACTGTAGCCACTAGGACTACATATATATGTTAACTATTCCAGTCAGGGCTATTTTTGGGCAGGAACGCACAGGAATGGAGTTCCGGCTGGCTTCAGCGTTGGCCACACCCACTACAGCCAAAACCTTTGTGTGCATGGCTACCGAGGGCAGGCCTGGAGCGCAACCCCTCGTGGAGAGCACCCCCCCCCCCCGGTGACTCTGAGGCGGGTGGGCCAGAAGGAGCCCTGGAAGGATTGGGGAGACATTTAAATGCCTCCCCGTGC